TGGACAGGAAATAGAGAGAAGGAGAAAAGAAGGGTCGAGGGACAAGATACCCCAAAATGACCTACTTCCTCCAGTAAAATTCCACCTCTTAAAGCTTACAGAACTTCCCAAAATACCATCACCAGCTGGGGACCTGGACTTTAACACGTGTTTGTGGGGGGGACATTTCATATTCAAAGCATAACAATGGTAATTAAGCTAGCTGCATTCTACTAAGTAGCTCCTAGTCAGAGAAGGGCAGCTGGTTTAGTGAAATTAACATCAGCTTTGAAGCTAGCCTGCATGGTGGCAAATCCTGTTTACCATTTTCTAGCTTTGTTATTTCAGTTAATTTATCAAATTTATCTGAACATCACTTTTTTCATCTGCATTCTTAGGGTAATAGTAGTTGAACCTCACAATGGCTAGCAAAATTAAATTAGATAATATATGTGAAAACTTCCTTTTCTGATTTTGGGTTTACATCCTTGATGGTCACAACATGATGATTTCCTGTTTTATCACCTGTTACCATCCTCAACCCTTTACTTTAAGTCATAACATACTGACACAAGATAACTGGATGATTTTTAGAAATATCATGGATAGGCCAAGTATAGTGAATGAAAAAGAAGAGGAGGGAAAGTGAAACTACAATAATGGAAGCTCATAACATCAACCCTTTTCTGAATTCATTACTTGGTGTCATCTGTTCTTTAATCACATCTTCATGTACTAGAGTATGACTGACATATAAGAAGCCATTCTGTCACTACTGAGAAGAATCTAAAACCACTTCACTCCATTTGGTAAATTTACTTAATACAAAACAAAAAAATTAAAAAAATAGCAACAATTTATCCCACCTGAGGAAAAAACTTCATTAATTTATTTCTTCCCTTTCTAGCTCTAAATGAAATAATCATCCCTGCAATATAACAAAAGTATGCTTGTACAATTTTTCTTGGGAGGAAAACAAAGATAGTAGAAGGGCTTATATGGAGGTTAGGCACTTATCTTCCCACTTGAAATCCCAAATCTTCCATTTAGTAGCTGAATGACCATAATAAACTCTCTGGGTGTTGCTTCATGTAAGTGTACTATAAGAAGAGTGAATTATATGATCTTCAAAAGTCCTTCTCAGTCTGAAATTTTAGATGATAGTTAAAGTAAAATAATGAGTCTGTTGCTCTCCTGCCCTTCTTTTCTGTAGGCAATTTTCATAACAGCATGGGCAGACATGTAGAAGTCCTAAAGATTTCTTGCCTGGGGGGGTTGCTACAGTGCGAGGGGGAGGATATAAGGAAATGGTGTAGAAGGGTATATGAGGTGGAAATATTATGTACTCATGTACAAAAATGGAAAAATTAGAGTCATTGAAACTATTCCAGGAATGGGGGAAGGGAGGATAAAAGGAGAATGATGGAGGGGATGAATTCAACTATGATATATTGTAAGAACTTTTGTAAATGTAACAATGCACTTCCAGTACAACAATAATATAATAAAAAAGAAAATAAAAAGTAAAAAGAAAGATTACCCCTCTTTCTCCATGCTGTAATACAATATATAATAAAAGCCATGGTAAAGCATAAATATGATTTTAAGAGACTCCCAAATTTTCTTTTTATAATAATTAGTTTAATCAATAAAGAATTAAATCTTTAAATTGTATTCAAATTTGGTGGTTCCATTTTTCTGGTGCCCTAAGAAATGTTCACTGTGACTATTAGATAATTTATATGCCTCACCAGTACCAAACTCTTCTTAGAGAAAGGATTGGTCTCTTCCATTCCAAAATTACATGAGGAGAAATGCCCTAGTTCTGCTTCCAAATTTATACTCTATTGAACTCTTTTTTGTAAATTTATAATGGACTCTAAATCAAGGCATATAGACGAACTGCAGGAGAACCTCATAGTAGCAAGCTATTATGATATAATAACAGTGATTCCCCATTCCCAGCTTCTGAAAATCAGTCAGGATACTGGCAATGCAGACTCAATGACACAAGGTCATTTTCTTTCTTTTTAAAAAATTATCGGCATATAATTGTTATACAGGGTGATACACTGTGATATTTACATATTTGCTTGCAATATGTCTTCGTTGGATTTACCATCTCCACCATTCTCCCTCTTCCAACCTCCCTCCATTATTAGAACAACTCTAACTGGTTTCATTCTTCTGTTTTCATGTATGAATACAAAATACATCCACTACATTCACCCTCATTCACACTTTCCTTATGTTCTTCTCCCTCCCACTTGTATCCACCCCTGGAAAAGACCTATTATACTATCCTGCCTTTCATTTTTTAAAGTGTAATATTGATGGTCCAAGAGGGGTTTGCCTTGGTATTTCAGGCCCTAATATAGCATGCTTTAATCAAATTAACCCCTCCCCTGTTACTCTTTTTCTATCACCATGCTCCCCTAATATTCTACAGCTTATAGTACAGCACATTATATTATATTCATAGATAGATGGGCTATTTCATTATTTTTCATTTTCTAACATTTTCTTTGCCTCTCCTATTTCCCATAGTCCCCTCAGACAGATTCACTAATACAATTTTGTTTTCTATCTCACACACACACATATATATACAACCATATATGTACCATATATGTATCTACACATTTAACTTATTGGTCTAGCTTCCACCTATGAGGGAAAACATGTGACCTTTGACTTGTTGAGCTTGGCTTACTTCAGTTAACATGATGTTTTCCAGTTCTATACATTTACCTGTGAGCAATATAATTTCATTATTCTTTAATGCTGAATAAAACTCCATTGTGTAGATATACCACTGTTTTTTAGTTTCATTTATTCATTTATTTTATTATTGTTGTGCTGGGAGGGGGTACATTGTGGCATTTACAAAAGTTCTTACTATATATCTAATATATCATATTTGAATTCATCCCCTCCACCATTCTCCTTTATCCCCCTCCCCCATTCCTGGAATAGTTTAATTGAGTATTATTTTTCCATTTATATACATGTGTACACAGTATTTGCACTATATCCACCCTCCCATGCCATTTCCCACATCTTCCCCCCTCCCACTGGTACCAACCCCATAGGCAGGACCTGTTCTGCCCTTCTGTTTTCCAGTTTTGTAAAAGAAAAAAAGGACATTTTTGTTGGTTTAAGATAGCTACATAGGGAGTTTCCTTGTGACATTTCCATGTATATGTGTATTATAGCCCCAATTGATCCATCTTCTCTATTTTTATTCTTTCTACCTTAATCCCTTTCTTACAGTGATTTCAACAGGTTTAAAAATTCTATATTCATTCTTGTGTAGGAAGCATATCAACCATATTCATCTTCTTAACTTCCTTATTTTACCTTCCCTTTCTCATATGTGACCTCCCCTTGGTGTGATCTGTTTTTCATAATATTGCTGTGTTGTATTGGGTCCATCTTCCACATGGAGAAAACATGTGGCTTTTGGCTCTGAAAGGGGCTAACTTCACTTAAATTGATGTTCTCCAGTTCCATACATTTACCTGCAAATGACAAAATTTCATTCTTCTTTGATACCATATTTTCTTAATCCATTCATCTGTAGTGGGGCATCTGAGCTATTTCCAAAGCTTTTTTATTCTAAATAGTGCTGCAATAAACTTGGGTGTGCAAGTGACTCTACTGTATCCTGGAGCATATTCCTTCAGGTATATACCCAGGAGTAGTATTGCTGGATCATATGGGAGTTCTGTTTTTGGTTTCTTGAGGTACCTTCTTATTGATTTCCATAGTGGTTGCACTAACTTACATTACCACCAACAGTGTAGGACTGTTCTGTTTTCCCTACATCCTCGCCAGCATTTATTATTGTTTGTGTTATTTATGATGGCCATTTTGACTGGAGTGAGGTGGAATCTCGATGTAATTTTGACTTCCATTTCCTTTATGGCCAAAGATATTGAGCATTTCTTCATATGTTTATTGGCCCTTTGAAGTTCTTATTTTGAGAACTGTCTGTCCAGTTCATTTATTCAGTAGCTGGTAGATTGTTTTGGAGGTTAGTTTTTTGAACTCCATGTATCTTTTAGTTATTAATCCCTTGTAATCAGATGTATAGCTAGCAAAGATTTTTTTCCCATTCTGTAAGCTGTCTCTTCATTCTGAAGATTCTTTCCTTTGCTGTGCAGAAGCTTTTTAGTTTCACACACTCTCATTTGTAAATTCTTTCTTTTATTTGCTGAGCTATTGGAGTTCTATTCATAAAGCTGTCACATATGCCTATTGGTCCAGTCCAGTGTGTTCCCTAATTTTTCCTGGATTAATTTCACCATTTCTGATCTTACATTAAGATTTCTAATACACTTTAAATTGATGCTAGTATAAGGTGAGAGACTGGGATCTAGTTTCAGTCTTCTGCAGGTGGAAATCCAGTTTTCCCACACTATTTGTTGAAGAGGGTATCTTTGCTCCAATGCACATTTTGGGCCCTTTGTGGGAAATCAGATGGCTGTAGTTGAGTCAGTTTGTTACAGAGTCTTCTATTCCATTCCATTGGGTAGCAGGGTTATTTTCTAAGTGTTGGAGTGCTGAGGTAGAAAACCAGAACCCAGTGAACAAGTTGGAAGACAATGGAGAGGCAAGGGGCCCTAAAAGATGAAGCTGACTTTCTACCACTGTGATTGAAAATGAGTGAGCAGAGCTTTGTGCAAGATGAATTTGGAGGCAAAGAAATACACTCACATTCTACACTGTTTTTTTCCTGTGGTGATAATAGATGGACTATTTCAAGACACCATTGATTGAAAGTCATAACTTAGAGAAGCTGAGAGAACAGTTGTGAGACAATTCCATTGTTCCTTAACTGATTCATTGGGTGACCTTGACACAATAAGTGTATCTTCCTTTAGCCTCTACTTCTTTATCTACAAATAAATCTATTCTAATGCTTATATTCTGTGTCTCTCTAAGCATAAAAGAGAAATCTGGGTGTTAGTTAAAGAACTCGTTAATCATTATGCTTTTCCCCCCTTTGTTTTGGGCAGGGTTCATAAATCCACGGCTTACTTTGATGAATATATTGAAATATTCAAGATGGATAGCAACAGTACTAGCAATGCTGAGACTAAATGCAATGTCACTAATATGACATTTCAGTATTCCCTCTATGCAACCACTTATATCGTCATATTCATCCCAGGTCTTCTGGCCAACAGTGTGGCCTTGTGGGTCCTGTGCCGTTTCATTGGCAGGAAAAACAAAGCCATCATTTTCATGATCAACCTCTCTGTGGCTGACCTTGCTCATGTGCTGTCCTTACCCCTTCGGATTTACTATTACATCAACCATCACTGGCCTTTCCAAAATGCTGTTTGCCTGCTGTGTTTCTACCTGAAGTATCTCAACATGTATGCCAGCATTTGCTTCCTGACATGCATCAGCCTTCAGAGGTGCCTCTTTCTCCTCAAGCCATTCAAGGCCAAAAACTGGAAGCGTAGGTATGATGTGGGCATCAGTGCTGCCATCTGGGTCATCGTGGGGACTGCCTGTTTGCCATTCCCTATCCTGAGAAGTCCTGGATTAGCCAACCACACTGAATCCTGCTTTGCTGATCTTGGTTACAAGGAAATGAATGCAGCGGTTTTGGTCATGATGGTTACAATTGCCGAGCTTGCTGGATTTGTGATCCCGGTAATCATCATCGCATGTTGTACCTGGAAAACAACCATATCCTTGAGGCAGCCACCAATGGCTTTCCAAGGGATCAGTGAGAGGCAAAAAGCATTGCGGATGGTTTTCATGTGTGCTGCAGTCTTCTTCATCTGCTTTACTCCCTACCACATTAACTTTGTTTTTTACACCATGGTCAAGGAATCCATCATTAGCAGTTGTCCCATTGTCCAAAGCACACTGTATTTTCATCCTTTTTGTCTGTGCTTGGCAAGCCTCTGCTGCCTTTTGGATCCAATTCTTTATTACTTCATGGCCTCAGAGTTTCGTGACCAACTATCCCGCCATGGCAGCTCTGTGATACGTTCCCGTCTCATGAGCAGGGAGAGTGGTTCATCAATGATTGGTTAAATAAAATAACTCTTCAGTTTTGACTTTGTTTACTTATGTTCTTGGCTTTTCCCAAAGGCCAGGATTACCAGACAGTTTCTTTAATTGAACCTGGAAAACAACAGAAATAAGCATTTTCTTGTATTACAGTTGTCACAAGGGTATGATGGTGGAGACAGAATGGGAAAAATGTGGGAGAACAGGGAAGATGGTACTCATCTGGGGACTTGCCTGTTTTCTTTTGAAAATTCAAGACACTTTATTACTAAGATGACTACAATTAATTTGAAAGTTGTTTCCCATCAAACATAAATTTGATGTTTTAGCTTAAAATTTTCATTAAATAGGATATTATAAGATATGATATGTATAAAAATCTTTCTAGCATATAAAACTATGTTTCATAAGAAGAACTTTATTTCTGAATAAGAAGAAAAATCTCTAGTCTTTCTAAGAGATAAACCTAAAGGCAAAGCACCTGAAGAGTTGAAGAAATGTGTGCATAAATTTTAGAATCACAAATCTAAAGGAAGTACATGAAAATTAATTCGTTTATTGAAAATTTACTGGGTGTATATTGTGTACTGGGCTGCTTCTAATACAAAAAAATCTCATGTGGAAGTTTCCAATACAAATGAATAAATGGAATCTCAAAAAGGTTAAGCAATTTGCTTCAGGATAAACAGTGGTAGGCCAAAATTTGTCCAGTACACATGACATGTATATAAATAACTCCCTCTGTGTATGTTGTTACATTTATTAGGTCAATACTAAATTTGGTTGAACTTGATTATTATTAGATTAATACTAAACTTGATTTCAGTGGTGAAGAAACAGAAAGTAAACCACATGAGATAAAGGCTATTTCAGCATGATTTTCCTGAGATTATCTAAAACTTTGTAGGTATGAAAGTTGGCATGTCATGGTTCAGTTTACAAGGTCTCCCATGATAGATACATTGTCCTAATACTGTGTCAAGCCACAGAGTCCCAATGACAAGAGGCCCAAATAGTTAATTACTTCCTACAAAGAAATTTTTAAGGCTTAATACAGGTCATACAAATTCCATAAATGGATGAAAAGAAGAAAGCTGTAAAATTAAGTGATGAACATTCTCTAAAATTTAGATTTAAAAAATGTGCCCAATATATTGTCTTAAACATTACCACAAATCACTCTGAATAAATTTTAAGGAATTTGAAGAACTCATGGATTTGCTTTAGAAATGCAAAATATTATGAGAAAAATGTGTTCTCCTTCTGAAATCTTAATTTTTCCAAAGGTTATAGGCATTGTTTCAGTGTCATTATTGAGGATTTAAATACAAGAAATCCCTCAGCTTCTCAGCTTGGCATTTGTGAAGTTCATCCATCACTCTTTTATGTCTGAAATTTATATAGCATAGCCATTTGGTGTGCAGAGTAGAGAAGGGAAGTGGTAGTCCTCAGAATATGCATTTGAGAAGTCTGGATAAGGAAGAGGAAGACGTGACAACTGAAAGGTGAAATTAAGTAGAACAGGGTTTCTGGGGAGGGAGAGAACTCTGCAATTATGAAGTAATAAAACTTTTTTAGTATGCGTGTGTGTGTGTGTGTGTGTGTGTGTGTGTGTGTGTGCTTTGTTAACCTGAATCTGAAGGCACCGGCTAAAGAGGTTTTCCAGATGTGCTTGGAGTTAATGGTAGCATTCATTATCAGAATCCCTTTTATAGACAGTTTCACTATAAAGAGTTTGCTTTTAAAGAAACCCATTTGGAACTACACATTCTGCTGTTTGTGGGGATTTAAGGGAACCTCAGCTTTCATGAGTCACATTTCATATTTCCTCCGTGCAATTGCTTCATGCACAGAGTTTTGCATTTTGTGGGTAAATTAAATAATGGACATTTCATTTTTGATACCATTAAGTGGAATCTTTGGGTTTTTTCTAATATGTGAATCTCTAATGTGGTGAGGGAAAAAACTGAAAAGCATTAAAGTGGGCAATGGTTGGTTCTTGAATTTTAAAAGCTGGGAAATTTTACATAATGCCAAGGGGAAAGGATAGAATGCTTGAGATTATAACATAACAGCTCAAGAAATCAGTGAGACTGCTTTAAAGTATTAAAATGAAGAATATTGCTTTAAGTGGGACAGGGAGGGGATAGCAGGGGGGATGGAGGGGACAATCTAATCAATGTATAATGTATGGTTATTTGGAATTGTCACAAAAAATCCCCCCATACAATGAATATATGCAAATAAAAATGGAATAAAAAAGGTTATTGCTTGGTGTTGGAGGCTCATGCCTGAAATCCTAGCTTCTTCGGAGGCTGAGATCAGGAGGATCATGGTTTGAAGCTAGCCCAGGCAAAAGATTCATGGGGCACCATCTCCAAAATAACTAGAGCAAAATTGACTGGAGGTGTGGCTTAAGTGGTAAAGCACTTGCTTTGCAAGTGTGAAGCCCTGAGTTCAAACCCCAGTTACACAGTTCCACAAAAAGAGAGGGCGAGGGAGAGAGAGAGCCAAAAGCCTAGTGACCAGTATACATCATTGTTTACTCATTCATTCTGAGGCTTATAGAGACAATTTCACAAACATACACATGAATAATCAGAAATACACAATAGAAATAGTTATCATATATCGAGTCTAAATATGTGAAGGGTTTACATGAATTGCCATACTTAATTCTCAAGAAAAACCCAAGAGGTAGTTATTATAATTACCGCAACTTTCCAGATTAAAAAAAAAAATCTCAGAGGTTAAGTAACTTGCTCATAAACATCAAGGCCAAGATTTTTAACCCTGAAAGTCAGAGTTTAGAACTCATGTCCTTAACCACTGTATTATTAGTCTACATATTACTATAACAGAATGAATTTAATGGGAAATGTTCATATCTTTAAGGTAGTTTTCCTTTTATTAAAAAAAACCTATGCAATTACAATGTCATATTTGTGTTGGGATTTCTTTCACATTTTTCAACATTGCAAACATAAAAATAAAAATATTAAAAACATTAAAATAAAACATTTAAAAACATTAAAATTAAAAATAATTGTGTATTTTTTTAAAATGATAATTCATCAACTTATAATAAAAATTTTAAAGTTAAATTAAAAATTTTAAAATACACTTTTTTCACACTCATCTTTCTAAATGTTTATCCCAATCTCTTACATGGCAGCAAATCCTGGGGGTTAGTGTGAATACATGTATGATAGTATAGATTATTTAATCCGTAAAGCACACACATCTGTATTTTAAAAACTTTAAAAATACACTAAAATGTTAAATTTAATAATCTTTGGAAGATCTGACTAAGAATGATAATTACTTTCCATTCCATATTTTTCTGTTTTCCAGAATTTCTTTGATAAGCATATTATTCCCCCCTCCCCATTTTTAAGACAGCGTCTCCCTATATAGTCCACGTTGGCCTCAAACTCACAACCCTCCTGCCTCAGCTTCGAGTGTTGAGATTACAGGCATGCAGCACCAGCATGCCTAGCAAACATATTATTTTTAATCAGAAAATAGTATGTATTATGAAGTATGAGTTGGAAATTATGTATATAAAAAGAAAAATACCTGTTTCAGAACATAATGTTTTTGGGATGACTGAAAAAACAATAAGGCCTAGTAAATAGCTGGTAGATATTAAATGACATAAAAAGGGATTATAGGTTCTGAAACATCTATGAAATAATTAGAAAAATTTTATTATGCACTAGGATGTGAAGAAATACTTAGATGCATAAAGCAGCAATTGCACATATGACTTTGTATGGTCAAAACTAGAATTACCAAGAATGCACATAGTAGAAAATAGAAAGACACAGAGTAACAAACATAAAGTAAAATTAAAAAGCACCATGGTTAGTTGAATATGGAGGCATACATATGTTGTCCTGGGTACTTGGAAGGCTGAGGCAGAAGGTTCACAAATTTGAGGCCAGCCTGGGCTACACAGTGAGTTCCTAGCCAGCCTAGGTAACTTAGCTAGACCTTGTCTCAAAAATAAAGATTAAAAAATATCTGGGGATGTAGCTCAGTGGCAGAGCACTTTCGTACCATGCATGAGGTCCTGGGTTTAATCCACAGAACCATAAAAATCCTATGGTAAATCTAATGGAAATAAACTTGAAAATCTCATTGATATGGATGGTTTTCTGTTTGAAAGAATTATCAAAATGGAACAAGAATAGAAAACTTAAACAATTAATTGCATAAGAAATTAAGAAAATTATTAAACACATTTCCACCAAAAGCAGCCATACCTGATATAGTCTTTAAAACTTTTGATGAACACATAACTTCTATTTTTCATATTGTTCCTAAAATCCAGAAAAAGAGGCAAACTAGTTCATTTTGCAATTCCATTTTGTCCTTATTATTATTAAGTACATACATAATTCAATGTCAGTTATAAATAAAGTTAAATTAAAATGCTGGCAAATATAATTCCACAATGTATTAGAATCCTAATATGGAGATATTTAAGTAGTTATTTCATGCTGTAGTTTACATGTAAATTTAGTGTATTCTTAAGAATCGTAAGAATCTAGTGTAATCAGAGCTTAACATAAGGTTTATTCAATTATAAATAAGCCTAATGAAATCAAATTTTCCTTCCTTTTCTCCACAAACTGAAAATGAAACTAAGTTCAAAGAGTCAACCTCTAAAGGATGGGTCAGTAAAGCAATAAGAATAGTCTGGCTGTCTTAACTGATTTATTAAGTAGTTAAGGAATTCAAAAGACACCTATGTCATTTGATTGGCACCATTTGTTCTGAAATGGAATCCAATTGTGGGTTTGATTATTAAGTCCCAGAGAAACTGACCTTTCGAAGGTCTACAGCCACTGGCAACCTATAAATGCATAACCCATGAAAAGTAGGTTTCAATTTGCAAAGTACATAGTCAGTCTCACCTAAGTTTGGAGAAGAAAGAAATTTGCTGTTTCTACAGACAAGTCTCTGTCCAGGTTCAACGGCATGGCATTTACGTATATAGACAGGCAAAATTTAGACAGTCATTAAAATATGGGCTAGCACTGCATTTTAGAGGCATCTGGCAAATTTTTAAAACTAAGAACTGTATTTTCTGGAAGGGTACTTATAAGACTTTTATAATTTAATTAGTTGTAGGCCACCAAGAAATACAAGTCCTCATTTCACTGCATTAAAAAAAGTCTTCTAGCTACTCAAGACACATGAAATGTTTGAAGGAAAGGAATTTAGCCTTTGTTTTTCTTTGGAAAATCAAACTTTCTTTAAGCAAGTATTACTGAATTTCTTTTTATGTCATCTGCAAGCCACAGCAATGAGTCACTAGTTCCTGATACACAGTGTGGCTATACTTGGATTTTTGACATATTCTAAAGATGCCATAGACACAGATTCCTTCCAACCACAGACCAAAGCAGGGTGGCCAAGTCCTCCTTGTGGTGGAAAATACACATACAAACCATAGAAGAAGCACATCAGAATAGTAATAACAAGTTTTAAAATGATGTACAAAAAGAGGGAGGGAGGGAGAGCAAGAGAGTCTGGGAAGAAATCAGCCTTAGATTTACTTTGCTTTTCTCTGGCTTCTACCTCCTTTATAGTTTGTTTCTATTCCCAAGTCTGGTTGCACAGAGGCTGTCTTACTTATGTCTGCTGCTCTGTCTGTGCCCTCTCATTCTTTCATTCACTCACTCAGATAATCACCAAAGTGAAGTAGAAGCATGGCTTTGGAGCCAAACACTTTAGCTTTAAGTTCTGGTTCTTCCACTTACTGGTTGGTTGTCGTTGAGCAAGTTGTTTTTCCTCATTTAACTGGGACTTCTTAAGCCTCAGTTTTACAATATACAAAAAAGAAGCTGCAAATATTTATCTCTCAAGACTATCATGAAGATTAAATAAATAATGGTAATAGGAGGACTTTGTAATCTACTAAATTAATAATTTGCCT